TTTCTCACTCTTCAGTAGTGCTACATGTCAGTTATCTAACTGTCCCAGGGAAGGTAATATATGTCCTCCTTTTTCTAGATATGGGCCATATTTTACTACCTCTATTTTGAATATGGCCTTCTTATGTTTCTCAAGTATTACTTTACAGTAAAGGTTATTTTTGATTGATTTGTTTTTTTACAGCTTATCAACCATTTGAGGTTATTTAAAGCTGAAACATTTTTGCATTGTAAGAATTTGGGGGGATAATACTTTTCTGGTACAAATCTTACTATTTAATCCATAGCTGGGAGGAGAAGAGGTGGATTCATACCTTTCCCAATGATATTTGCATGTAAGTGAATATAATGAATCCAACTGGAATTTGAACTTGGCTCTCCAATTTCTCATCCTGAGCCATTATTCAATACATCACCTGCACATCCAAGCTTATAGCACCTGGTATTTCTCAGTGGTTATCCCTCTAGTTACTGACTAAGTTCAACATTAGGAAAAGTTAGCACTGCTATAGTTAGGTATCAGTATTACTTAGCTATGCTATTTTTTTAATTTTAATTTTTTATTTTGATTTAATTTATGGACACAGTAATAAGAACTTTTTTACTGAAGTAGGTTATGTCATAAATACACACAAAATTTAAGCAGTTACTTGAAATTCTACCATCTCAGGCCAAAATATATTGACAAGTATATGTGAAGGAATTGTCCATCTTTCACCACAAATAGAAAAAAAAAAAGTTTATGTTTTTGAATTTATATGCAATTTGAAATCAAATACAACTTTTAATAAAACTTGGAAAAAGTAATTGTTTCATCCAAATCTTGTTCTTTGTAAAGGTGTTGATTAGAAATATAAATAAATTGATAAAATTTTAAATTACAATTAGAACTTATGACACTATAATCAATAATCAAATTGTTCTTTCATTTTGTGATAAACATTATTTTCCTAAAATCAAAGCAGTGATAAATTTAGTAATATAAAATCAGAATTATTGTAAGTAAATTAAAGAAATATTTAATTTTTTTAATCTCAATAATGCAAAAGAAAATACTGACTCAGAAATTAAAACAAAAATAGTCAAAAGAACAAAGTATTTAAACAGAATGTTAACACTAGAATAAAACTTGTATATAATGCTTCAATCAAAAGAAATAATTATATTATTGACATTCTCATATATAAGCTTTGTGTAATAGTAACATAATACAATGTAATAAAGTAAAACTGCCAGCCAACATTTTATGAAAAGAAGAAAAAAGATTCTTTGATATTTCTTTATCAAATGATAATTTCATCAAAGTATAATTAGTATTATCAGATAATTGAATTTATTTTAATGAGTGAATGTACAACAACAGTATAATTTTAGAAATCAATTAAAATTATTTACACTATTTACATTTGGACTATTATCTTCATCTTTATTGTTTACACGCCATTGTGCCTTCCCGCCTTTATCAGAAGTATATTAATCCTGGTAACCTACAGGGAATTCCAAACTGAACCCTTTATTTAATCTATGGGGGTAGATTGCTCTTGTCACATTTCCCATATCTAGAGATATATTGTCTAGTTCTTACTTTTAGTTTTATTGCTTGCCACTTTTTTCACTGAGTCTAAGTAAATACTGTTTGATCCAAGGAATGAACTCACAATTACTGTGTCACCAAATTCACAAACCAACACTTTATTCCACTAGGCTAGTGATTTTCAACTGGTGTTCCACAACACACTGGTGTGCTGTGAGTGTAACATAGGCACACCATGAAAACTTTTAGAAGTCATTAATTATTTTTGAAAGCAGTCAAAAGAACAGTAAGTGTATATATCAAAATGAAAACCCCTTTAAACTGATTATACAAGTACATCATTGTTATAAATAATAAATGTATACATAATATATAAAATAATATAAAAACAAGCTTTATTAATAAACAATATTAAAGACAAAAATCGATCATAGCTACAATCATTGCAAGAAGATTTAAGAGTATGCTTGTCCAAAATTCAATCTACCTTGCAAAGAAGATATTCTAAAAAAAAAACAAAACAAAAAACAAAAAAAAGCAAACCTCAAGCTCAGATATCTCATTAAATGTTAAATTATAATAAACAGAAAAATAAATAAATATAAGTTTTTTTTTATCTTTTTATTACAAAAGATAATAAATAGATTTGTTTGATTTAAAAAAATAATAAAATAATTTAAGTGTGAGGTAGAAATCTAATTATAGGTTCACGAGATATAAAGGTTGAAAAACATTGCATTAAACCATTGTCCTGTATTTTCTATGGAAAACTTGAATCCTTAAACCTAACCTGTCTGCCAATGCTGATGCTGTTTGTCATGCTTATGCATAAATAATGATAACTCTTCATCTCAGAAATTAACATTTAATATATTTTGTTTTCCCAGACTTAATGAGGCAAATAAAAATTTGTACATTGCAACAGAAATATAACTAAATATATCAAGTTATATAATAAATCCATTCAAATTTTGACTAACATTCAAAATGACAATGCACATTTACAATTGTGGTTTTTTATTATTATTATTATCATCATTATATATTGAGTATATTGGGTTGATATATATATATATATATATATATATATATATATATATATTATATTGGGTTGATACATTGATATAATTGTAAAATATTTTTCTGGGCAAGAAAGACAACTAGGAATTTTGCTATATGACATTACCTATCCTCATTGTTGGAATGGAAATTTTTTTCACATTCTCCAGATCTATCATCTTCAGATAATTGTTTAGCTCACTACATCAAGACTTGTCTGGTCAGTGATTCCAAAATGTTTGAGAGATTGAAAGTTTGTTCAAAATTTATCAAATCAAAACTGAAATCATTCTTTTATTAAAAAGGTAGTGAAATGGTTATTAAAATAAAGAGGAAAGATTTCACCTAAAAACTGCTGGAAATTTTTGAATCAACCTAATATCAAAATCACCAAAATATAAAATCTCAAATTTTTATAAATTTTATTACATAATGCAGCAAAAAAAAAAAAAAAAAAAAAAAGGATGTAAACGACAAATAATCATGACAATTCTACATGTATGTACATCTGCACAGATGAGTGCACACGCACACTATGAAAAACAAACTTGCACCAATGATAAGTACATATAAAAAAAGAAAAGAGGTATAAGCTGTCAATTGCTGATAAGTGGACAGACAGGTCTGTCTATGAAACTCTGGAGTTGGGATGTTGAAGGTAACATGAATCATTTAAGTGACAAACATTTTACGTGTATTAATTATATATAAGTGAACATTGAAGTCAACACTCAGAGGCTACACAGGCTGTTTCATGCTGGACGCAATTGGTGGCCTGATGATTGTGTCCAGCATAAAACAGCCTATCACCTCAGTGTTGACTTCAATGTTCACTTTTATATTTACATACGCTCTCTCTGATATTGTGCACTTTATCCCATAAATATAGCACACCTTAAAATTATATATATATATATATATATATATAGATAGATAGATAGATAGATAGATATGGTAAGATAATATAATAATAAGCAAGTAATTTTATCAATTTTGCAGTAATCGATATTACATTACAATAATTAAAAGCACTTTATAAAATCTAGCCACTTGAACTCATCCTTTACATTGATCCATTTTTATATTTTGGCCAATCCATTCTACAGCCTTGTCCAGGTACAGACACTTTAAGAAAAGATAAGGACCAATATATAGAAGGAGTTCAACTTTCTGAATAATACTTCTTACAATTATGGAAGCTTGGTGGAGTAATGGGTGGTATTTGAGGAATTGGAGAGCCAAGTTTGAATTCCAGTCAAGTTCATTACATTCACTTACCTGCTAATACCTTTGTAAAAACTATAAATCTGTCTCTTCCACCTAGCTATGGGTAAATAGTAGGACAGATTGGGCCTTATAACATTGATTGGCAACCAGTCTAGGAAAAGGAAAATTGAATTCAAACCATCCTGAGAGTGTTGGGCCCCATCAGGCTGTCTTGCCCAAAAAACACCACTGCTGCTATATCTACAGTTGCCCCTATGACCCTAAAGGGTTACAGGTTTTGTGATCATGACTATTATTGAAATGAACTAATTACCTCTGTAAAGTTTTAAACAATTTTTGTTACTAACTTATTGTTCTGTGTAGTTATTTAAGATATAGATGTTATATATAACATACAAAAGTCAAAGAACTATAATCTAAAAAATTCTTTTACTGTCAATATTTTATTGCTAAGAAAGTATAACTGGTGACTAAATATTTAAATTTCTAAATGAATTATTCCTTTTTATTTTAATATTGCATTTCACACAGGTATGAATGATCTTTTGAGTTTTTTTTAGAGCAATTTACTTAAGACATTATTTTATATGTTTGATGAAATCATTTAGGGCTGGTGCATGCTACCCCCATCCAACGTGAGTAGGGGAGAAGCCTGATTGGGAGCCTCACTATATTATCAACATTTGCTTTTTCTACCTACATTTATATATATTACAAATTAAACTAAGCACAACTAACTAAATGATGAAATATTTTTGAGGATTTTGATGTCATTCTGGGATCATTTTTTGTACAAATCCATGAATTTATTTTGCTCATGTTAAGTCTTGAAAAAACATTAAAATTCATTATTTTTTATCCATAATGTTTAACATGTTAAATCATTTAACATTTCAACAAGAAAAATCTCAAACTGATGTTAAAAATTGCCACAAAACATTGTTGATTTATTTTAAGATGGAATGATCTATTATGACAGGTCTCTAATTTGTATTTAGATACAATGTATTTATTTTCAATTTTTCTAGTTGAATTGTTCACCTATATTGTATATGATCCATTATTGTACATAATTAGGTTAGAATAATATAGATTCAGGATGAGAAGCACAAGACCCTTGCACAGGTCCTGAAACCATTTCTTCATTGAAGTTAATAAGCAATTTTACATAACCAGATGCATCAGAAATTTATTATGAATATCTCTACAGACTCTGAAGATAACAAAAAGAAAAAAAAAAAAAAAGACAAAAAGAAAGACAAAAAGAAAAAAAAGACAAAAAAAAAAAAAAGACAAAAAGAAAAAAAAGACAAAAAGAAAAGAAAGAAGAAAAGAAAAAGAAAGACAAAAGAAAAAAAGAAAAAGAAAGACAAAAGAAAGACAAAAGAAAAGAAAGACAAAAAGAAATAAGAAGAAAAAGAAAGACAAAAGAAAGAAAGAAAAGAAAAAGAAAGACAAAAGAAAAAAGAAAGACAAAAGAAAGAAAGAAAAAAAGAAATAGAAAGAGAAAAGAAAGAAAAAAGAAAAAGAAAGATAAAAAGAAAATGAAAGACAAAAGAAAGACAAAAAAAAAGAAAAAGAAAGACAAAAAAGAAAAGAAAGAAAAAAAGAAAAGAAAGACAAAAGAAAAAAAAAGACAAAAAGAAAAGAAAGACAAAAAGAAAAAGACAAAAAGAAAAAAAAAAAAAAAAAAAAGACAAAAAGAAAAGAAAGACAAAAAGAAAAGAAAGACAAAAAGAAAAGAAAGACAAAAAGAAAAGAAAGACAAAAAGAAAAGAAAGACAAAAAGAAAAGAAAGACAAAAAGAAAAGAAAGACAAAAAGAAAAGAAAGACAAAAAGAAAAGAAAAGAAAAAAGAGAAAAGAAAAAAAAGAAAAAAGAGAAAAGAAAAAATAATAATAAAAAAATGTTTTTAGGGATACAATATAGGAATCAATCAAATTCCTTTTCATTTTCATAATAAAGTCATGATGCATTAATAAACGTAGATAAAAAACATTTATACCAGAATGTAATGACTAGTAGAGCAATATAGTGTTTAAGACACAGAAGCAATTCAAGAACAAATGCAGACAGTAGAAAATGAAAATAATCAGCAAAATTGTAGATTATTTGCACCAGTTGATTAGATTTGCAAGATAAAGCAAGCAACTAAAAAAACTAAGACATTTAAAGACAAATCCTCAAGTCATAGAATAATGAATGAGATCAAGATAGTCTTACAAGATCATGCATTCATTCATAAATCACTATGCAACATTAAAACAGAGGCATTTATAGGACAAATATCAAGCGAACCATTGATATATTAAGTAGATTTCAGTTTTTACTCATATAAACACATATTCATTAACAGCAGCTGAAGAGTAAATTAATTTAACTCAAACTTGTTACTTACAATCAGATCATTAATGAAATAACAATGAAAACAGAATTTAAATGAAAATATGAGATTTTTTTTCTCCAAAACCTGACTCAAAAACCACCTTGCATCCTGCACAAAGGTCAAGTTTAGGATCTACGAATCTCTTCCAAGGCAATTTCTAAGAAAATTTCCAAAATACATTAAATTTAAACTTTGTCCTACTTGTGTATTTTTATTCTTTAAAATATTATAAATAAAAATTACAGTAAATATTTAAATATCTTATGAATAGCTTGGATATATTAAGTCTTTTCGAAATAAGAGTTAAAATTCTGCCAATATGTTATTTATGAAATAAAAAATATTAAAACATATTTGATAAATATTATTTGAGCACACAATGTTAACAGCATCTACTTAGATAAAATATAAAATTCAAAAGTTTCTCAAGCACTAACACTTTTTGCTTGTTTCATACTTTGAAAATATAAAAACAATAATTTTATAGCAGTCATGTTAATAGTAATGATAATATTAGCCATTGACTTATAAAGAAACATTTTGAATTCATTGACTGAGCAGCTAGTGCTATTCCAGTAATGCTTTTTCATTCACTGGCCATCTGGCTGAGATCAAAGTGTATTATCTGCCTTCAGGCAAATAAACTACATTTTCTCTCTCAGTTGTGTTTCTATCTTTGGACATAAGAAATAAATGAGAGATGCCTGGTCCTGGGGATTCCAATCTTGTGGCAGCACCACCCTCATTGCACCAAAGAAGGAGAGTCAGAGGAATATTGATGCCAGCATGATGTTAGTTGTGAAAACGTCAATTTTTTGGCCTTAGCACATGTGCACATGCTTGGGCTCCCTACTTTAAACCAGTCTTGTGCCATAACACATCACTGTGGAGGAATGAGTAAATACCAAGTGTAGTACGTGTTCTCCTCATCTTTAATGGTAATATCATCTGCCTTCTTGTAAGGAAACATTCAGCATTCATTGACCAAGTAGCCAGTAATACTTTTGGTTAAAGTTTACAAAATCTTTCTTAAAACCATTTTTCAGGAAAATAATTTTCTCAAGTCTAGTAACTCTTAGTGTATTTTCCAGTATTAATGGAATGCAAACACCTGTATCCATCCAATCTTATTTATAAATGAATTGGCAATTGATTTCTGGTTGATCCAAGGTTGAAAGTTAAGCAAGACAAAGAAATAGCAAATTTGCATGTATTTATTTATGGAATATTATCAGGTGTGTGCAAATATTCTCAGCATTCTTTTTTGAAAACAACAAACTGAATACACACTTGCAAATTATTTTTCTGGGAATTTTTGCACACATCTAATAATCATAGAAAATTAGGATTATCAATTTTCAGGTGTTATATCCATATTCTTGTTACTCCTTGCCCGTCAATAGTTAAACTTTATATTTAGATTATGACAAAGGAAATCTACAAATGATGATAGCACAAATATTTTTTAATAATTAGGAATGAGCAGTGATGAAGAGGACATTGAAAAAAATGAATGATTTTTTTTATTAGTTTTCATTCACAGAATAATAGTAAGACATGAAACTGAAAGTTGGAAGAATTTAAGCCAAAAACAAATTTTAGATATTTTTGGTGGGGTGTTAATTGATGGTAATGGATTAATTATTTTCTAATCAATGGAAGATTGGCTTAGGTTTTGTTTAACTCCAGTTCAACACTATAAGTGGAAGAGTCCTAAATTAATTTTCAACTCACTGTATAGCCTCATTTTTCTTAGAATGCATGGAAGTTCAGGAATCTTGGCAACCTTTGACCTTTGCGTCCATAAATAAACAGAGTGTAGAAAGGACAGTTTTTCCCTTGACACCACTATTATTTTAACTATCTTCACTCCTCAGCAATGTTTATTGTATTAAAAAAAGTGTTGATTAGAATTTTAATAAAACCTAAACATATGAAACAGAATTTATACATTTTTTTTTGTTCTTGAGAAATGGCAAAAAAATAATAAACACTACTGGATTGTTTATTTATGATATTATTTATTGAAATGGTTGGCAAAACATTGGCTAATTGCCAATCAATTTGAACTTTATAAAATAGTAAATAATAAGACTTTCTTTAAAATTGGTTTGCATATTTTAATAATTTAGTAAATTTTTATAAATTTATGAATAAAAAATTGGTTTCACATATATTTCTTTATAAATTGGTAAATGATAAATATTGCATTGCATTAGTTTTAATACAACTTTATTAGTTCTTATAATGTTGTAAATAAACAATCAAATAAATTGTGTTTAATATTTTTTGTTGTAAATTCTGAAGAACCAAAAAAATGTATAAATTCACTTTCATCATATGTTAGGTTTTATTAAAATTCTAATAATCACTTCTTAAAACAATAAATATTGCCGAGGAGTGAAGGTAGTTAAAATAATAGCAGTGTCAAGGGAAAAACCATCCTTTTTTTTTGCAGGCATGAATGTCCAAGACTACCAGAATGTTTTTAGCAACTAGAATTATGTTCAATAAGTTCAAATTATGTTTTAATTTCATAGAATATCAATCAAATGTGTAATTTGTGCAATGGTTATCAGCCTGGAAAGTGGAATTGGTGAGCCTAGTTCAAATTCCAGCTTTGTTTATTGCATTCAGTTTCACACAAATGCCCTTAGGAAAGGCATGAATCCATGTATTCTTCTCTCGACTATAGGTTAACTAGCAGGACAGACTGGAATCTTAAACTTTATGTGGCAGCCAGTCTAGGAAAAGGACAATTTTGAATTCAAAGCTTTGGAGAAGGCAATGGGAAAATATTCCACTATCTTTCTGAAGAGGTCATGGCAATTCATAGATAATAAATAAAAGGAAGCTGTAGAGGGCCATGATTGTCTATGTCCTGAAAGGACATAAAAACAATTCTTGGTTTTTTAGGAAGTAATTTGAAGTTTACAAATATAAAGATGGATATTATTGTTTAATTTTACACCTTTCTATATGATCAAAAATGTAACAACAATCTCAAAGAGTAATTCATACTCCAATAAACAATTTTCTGAATCTACATCCACTTCTAAAATAGGAACATTTTATCATTATATACATCAAATTTATTTCAAGAAAAATGTATAAACAATTCTTTGGACAATTTTTCACATAGTTTGAAAATTCATAATTAAAATAAAATTTAAATGTTTTAAAATATATATAATAAAATTAAATTTGTATAAATATTGATGCACAATAGATAAAATACACCCATAAAAAATGTTTAAATTTTCTATTTACTTTCTACTGTGCTAACTTTTAAGAAAATAAAATCATTAACAATTCATAATTGACAAATTGTTCAAGAATATTTTAATTTAAAATTGAAAGATTTTAATATATATTTCAAGTTAACAAGTGTACATATTTAATCTAAAATTATGAGTCTAATAGATAAAGATATAAGCAACATTTTAGTGTAGGAAAATGTTATAGTCACTTATTATACAAAGAAAAATAGGTGCTTATTATAGACAGGCTTGCAACAGTTTAAAAATATGTGAAATATCGACCAGTTATTTTGTCTAAAACTGAGAATGGATACTTTTCAATAAATATTTAATGAAAAACTTTAGTAGAAATGCAGACTTTTGATGTTTCTGGTTACTATTAATAGAATAGTGATTAAAAAATGGGCAAAGTTTAACTTCTAGGCCTGCAAAAAAAAAGGTGTTTGAAAAGGATGTTCTTTTCTCTTGACATTGCTATTACTGTATACTCTCTTGGCAATGTTTATTGTTTTAAAAAGTTATGTTTAGAATTTTAATAAAAAAAAGTTACACTATTTAGCTGTTAGATTGTTTATTTACAAGATTATAAAATCATGTGAACTAACTAAAATGCAATATTTATCATTTACAATCTTAGAAAGAAATAAATATGAAAAAATTTTACAAAATTATAAAAATATGTGAATCAACTATAGTGAAATATTTATTATTTACCATCTTATGAATAAATAAATAAATATAAAAAGAGATATTTTTTATTCTTAAATTTATAAAAATGGCTGAACAAGAAAATTTAAATAAATACATTATAATGAGTAACTGTAAAAGTTTGGAAAAAAATGCTGATTCCAGGCATTTCTTTCATAACTTCACTAAAGTAGGTTGAGAGCATCTTTTCCTCTAAACAAAACTTTCTTTTAATTTTAGGTTTAGGTGAGATCATAAACACTCAATATTTTAAGTGTTTATCTCCCTATTTATTGAGTGGACAAAGTTTTCCTTGTGTGTAATTACAGAATGTCTGTAATTTTTACCAGGTATTTTTATTGATTAGGCATCCTTGATTCTAGATGTTGATTATATAAAAAAAAAAATTGAAAAAATTAAAACAAGAAGTAATTTGAGATACAAAATAATTTGAAAAGAAAATGTATAATGTCCAGAAAAATCAAATGTTTATTTAAATTTTCTGGTTCTATAGTTCACAGGTATTTTTGAATAAAAAGATTTTTCATATTTCTTTATAAAATGGTAAATACTATAGCATTGTATTTGGTTCATATATTTTTATAATTTTGTAAATATA